GAGAGAGAGAGAGAGAGAGAGAGAGAGAGAGAGAGAGAGAGAGAGAGAGAGAAGCACATGCACATATGAAACCAACACAGCCCCTCAGAGGCATAAAGAAAGGCAGACATAGACATGAGAGAGTATACTGGCTATTTCTGCACTTGGTGAGTAAAACCACCTAAAGTTTTCTGTTCTCCTCTATAGGGCACAGCCAAGTGAGGCCTCCCCTGCTAATTCTTCCTGAGGTCTGGATGGGGTACTCTTCTGTCGAAAAGTTTTCTTCAGTCAAGCTTCCCATACCAAGCCCCCACAGCCAGCTGCATTCCCCTCCATTTGTCTGCCTCAGGAGCCCCTCCCCTCTGTCCTGTTCCACCAACGCTAAAGCTGTGGTGGTGGTGGTGGTGGTGGTGTGGGGTGGAGGGGGGCAGTGAGGTGGGGTGGGGTGGGGGCTCTGCTAACCTTTAAGAAGAAATCTGGCCTCCTGTGGAGGTACTAACCCTATCCCAGCCAGGCTATCACCCCTTCCCTGGCCCTGGCTCCTCCTCCCAAGATTTAATGTGCAGGTTTGGGCAATTGCTGAGACTCCAGTTGTCACAGGGTTCTCTACCTCATTCTACACCTCAAAGGTGACCCCTCTAGCTGGGGTATTGACAAGGGACTTACTTTTCAACAAGACTGGCCAGGTGAGGTGGTGTGCCCTGACTTTCTACTGCTTCCATTATATCCAAAGCCAAAATCATTGGAAGGCAACCCCAAATTCCTGGCCAGAACCAGCAGGAACTTTGGGGGCCATGGGACTGGACAGGAAGCAGGAGCTCCAGCTGGAGGTTTTCTAGGAGCATTTTAGATTCAAGTTTTAATCTGACTTTAACCTGTATGCTTTAACCCATACCGGGGTATCTGACCCCACTCCTCACAAATCCATGCCGATCTCAAACAGACTAGTGACCAAAGATCCCGTCCTTCTTTCTTGCGGCCAGTCACAGAAGTTGGGACAAAACACTAAGGTTGCGTGGAATGGGGTGATTCTAGAGCAAAAAAAGCATGGTAGAGAAAATGGGCTGAGGTCCATGTGCTCATCTTCTAATCGCGTGTCCTAGAGCCTTCTTTGACTTGGTCCTGCTTTGTGAAGGAAGAGCTGGCAGAAGGACTATGGATCCCAGTTTTAAAGATGGCCTAGAGAAACCCAAATTTACAGGGCCTTCAAATTCTCACTTCTTTAGCCTCTGGAGGCATGTGGTACACGGGGCAGGTCCTTGTGAAAATGCAGGGATTGGGTTTTAGATTGCAGGACTTTGGCCAAAAGGAGATACTTTAACTGGGCTCATAACCTCACTTCAAGCTATGATGGTATTAGCGGGCATCCCAAGGAGAGAAGGACACCCACTGCTACTCATTTACCCCATAGATATTAAAATTCTAAGCAAACACCCCCTGCTGGGACAGCTCTTTGGAAATTCTGACTGCTTATACTGGTGGGGTATGTTTACCACCTTTTACTCTCCACCCTAGTTAAAAGGGAGCACCGACTCTACCAGACAGACTCAGGGCCTCTCAGCCTCTCTGATTCAGAGGCTACTTTGAAATATTGTCAACCCTTGGTGCCTTAGCTGTCCAGGCCTCTGTCACTTTAAGATGCAAGGATATAAGTCCCTGCTATGTAAGTATGTTGGATGCCTTCATTTTAGGGACGAGGCAGCCATGATTATCAGTCTTAATTCCTGCTCAAGGCACCCTGGAGAGTGAATTCAAGACAAATGCAGGCCTAGGGGTTAGTGCCTCTAGGAGAAGAGGACTTCATCCCTCCCACCTGACCTCTTATATAAGCAAAGCCTCTTCCCCACTTCCTGCCATATGAGGCTCAGCTGCTAAAAGCAGGGACCTAGGCTCCCATGGGCTAGCTTCTTCTCCTTGGTCATGGCTGGATGTTCCTAGAGTTGCAGTCTAGTTCCTTCAGACTGGATGCATAGCCCACTGTCTGCTCCCCCTCTTTGACAGGTTTAACTTAGCCAGGCCATCACCCCCTAGTGTCCAGGGTCACCTGGATCTCAGACTAGTCAAAGGATTCTGCTCCTACCTATTGCCCTCCTTGATAGTTGGATTCTGGCAGGACAAGCATTCTGAGACCTGATCAGGACTGATGGAGCTTGGTGATAAAGTTTGGCAGGCAATGTGGTACTGGTTTCTTCCCTTTTCCCTGCCTTCTAATCCAGCCCAGTCATGACTGGATTAAGGCAGTCCAGGTGGTACTACAGGCAAGTAATAGGAGGCTTGGGACAAGGGAGAGGGGCTGCTGTGCCATGTGATATGCTCAGAACGCATGGTGTTTAGTATCCCATGGACTCTCTCTGTTCTTGAGAAG